CAAGCAGCTCTCCATTCCTTCTGCTTTTCTGGTGGTAAGCGAAGGATATCGCGGTACATCCATTCTCTGACATTGGACGTGTCTGGATCATCTGCCTCAGGCGAAATTGCCTTCAGAAGCAGGTAGTTAATCATTGGTACTCCCCCTTCCCAGCATAGCTGTGCCAGAAGTAACTCATCAGCGTCTTGTTCAGACTGCTGGTCAGAGGCTTCAGGAGCGACTGGCTCATGCGAAGCACCCGGGGATTGAGCAGGAGGGTCGTGAGGTGGAGGGGCAGAGCTAGGTCCGGGAACCTGTTGCTTCTGCTTGGACTGGCAAGGTATGCGAGACATCTTAGGATTTTTGCCAACTAAATCCTTCCACTTCTTCTCTGACTCAATATCGCGATAGGTGTCTACGGGATGTGTCTACTGGATTCCGCGATTCACTGTAGATATTACCCGGGCGAGTTACTGGTTTCCTTTCTCTCACCAGTCTCTGCGGCTCATCTTGTGGCGCAGGATCCCCCGGAGGTGGAGAAGGTGGGTTCTCAGGCTCTCACACCTCAGGCTGCGCAGGTTTGTCATCACGATCCTGGCCTGGCCCCTTTTGGGATTTAGGAGGAGGATGTGAGTCTGGCTCATCGTCATCGGTGATCCAGTCATCATCAGAATTGTCTGGTTGGCTGTCAGCTGGTTTAGGAGCACTTTGCAGCCTGGTGCTTGCCTGTCGCTTTGTATTAGGGCATTTCATAGTTTTGTCAAACAGCACAGTGGGCTGAGTGACTATACTATGATTGGCACGGTGACACCAATGTAAGTCATCAGCTCAACTTTAGGCAATAACTTATTGGGTCTGGTTTCCTTGGGTAGGTAGACGTATGCTCTGCATCCAAAGACATGTAAGTGTTTGATGTTGGGAGCTTCCTTGTTCAGGACCTCAAATTTAAATCTACACTACACTGCCCTAAGAATAGTGCTCATCGATAAAGGCATTCTGGTCAAAGCCAGCAGCCTCTGCAATAGTGCGGTCCAGGTCTTCCTCGTCACCGAGACTAACAGTCTCCCCCTGGTCCTTGTCACTACCGGTCCTTCAACAGGACCCCTGAAAATACCGATGGAGGTTAGATACCAATTCCGTAAAAAAGTGAGGTCTGGAGGCCGTATGTTAGATACGGTTGCGGTAAAATGTGGCGAAGCGCCCAAGAGGCCGGATACTTTAGTCCCGGTAGAATTGAGGCTCAATATCCAAGGTCAGATACCATTGTGGTATATACCCGGCTTCTCCCGGCACTCAATCACTGGCTTGTGCAGCCACAATTTGCCCCAATAAATATTTGAGCTGAGATTGCACTGTTCTGGCAACATTGGGCCTATATATGGCATATTGTAGCGGATAATGCCTTATTTTGATCAAATTTGGCTAAGAAAAACCCTTGTGACCGGATCAAAATTCAGAGGTTGGATATCTGGGTCCCGGTAAATCTCGAGCCACACGGCTAGGTTGGTATCGCGTCCCGGTAAAAACAGCCAAATTACGCGAAATTCGGTCCCGGTAAAAATGAAGGAAATCAGGTCCTCTGGTATCTAACCTCCATTGGTACTTTCAGGGGTCCTCCTTCAACCCACCCCCACGAAGGTCACGTGACTCAAGCTCCGGCTCGTGCCGCCTGTCGAGAGTTCACCATGTATTTAGATATGTAATGCTAAGAGCTTTAATATATTGATTTTGACTGGCACTATCAGTTCAGTCCAAGTGGGCTGGGTGAAATAAATGATAAAATATGTGCAGAAGCAGATTCTCTGAGGGGGTCCAAGTTGAACTAAAGTGGTGTTGAATATTTATTCCTGTATCCGGTCAGTTTGGACGTGATTTTGACGTGATTTGAACGGGGTTTTTGACGTGACTTCGACCAAAATTTTGATGCAACCTTGACGGGTTCTGCGGGGTTTCGATGATATCTTGTTATGAGTTTGTTTATGGGGTTTTGCTGTGATTTATGACTTTTTATAGTTTTTTGTAGGCATTATGAGGGGGGACATGCTGTCCCTCCTCAACCCCCCCCCTTGCCTGGCCTATGGGGGGCCATTGCATTTCCCCCCAGACCCCCCTTTGCTTCTTTTTTCCTGCTGCTGTTGATTATCAGCTTTCTGTGGTTATATTTTATGTTGTAAGTAATCTGAAAATGGAGATTTCCCACTTTTGGCAGGTAGTTTGATGTCTGATTTTATTCTGTGTCAGGCTCCCGGCATTTTTGACCCATGAGTTATGTCTAATGGTGTTTCCGTAGCCGGGGTGGCCAGCACGCGGCCACCCAAGGGTATGGTGTCTTCCACCACCCAAAGACAGCCACGGTGGCAAAATGAACAAGTTTTGATTGAGTTATGTTCCCTTCATTTTATCCATATTTATACACACAAACAATACTGGGGATATAAAATGCTTTTTGCCCAGCAAGCGAATTGAACCAAGGCATCCTGGATTTATATGGACTGCATTACCGACTACGCCAAACTGCACTAGTTATGAGCCTGCGTCATAGCCATACATACCCATAGTTATATCCCTTCTACCGTTTTCGGCAGTCGAGTCGTGGGTTTTGGTCACGTGCTCTCATCCCGTGCCCGCATTTTGTGGGGGTGAGTTTGTCGCATGTCACTACCCCAGTCGATAGACTGGTTGTCATCTTGGTTGCTATCTGCAGCGACATCCGCACGAGTGACTTCTTCAATGCGAGCATGCTTGGACGCATGACTGGAGGTGATGGATTCAGTGTCCTCCATGTCGACATCCGGGTCCGGGTCGACTTGTCTGACAAGAGCGTCCAAGACCTTGATATCCTCTTCGGTGGGACTGATGTTGAGGTCCTGCACGCAGTCGTGGTTCCCTATTTGTAGTACAGTAGCAAGGGATATACTGTGAGGGTGATGTGCATTAAGCCAGTGACTGTAGATCAGTTGTAATTACAAGGACTGGCTGCTGGCTGACTTTGACATACAGTGCTGTATTACAATGGGTTCATAATGGCTGGTACTGTAGATGACTGTGAATGGTACTGTACTCCATTTCCGGGCTGAATGCAGTGTACTGTAGATGGTACTGTGGATGGATGGCTGGCCCTATAGAGGGCACTGTAGATGGTACTGTACATGAATGGCTGGCCTCATACATGACACTATAGATGGAACTATAAATCATATTCAGGCTGGAATGCTGGTACTGCAGCTAGGATGCCGAAGCGTGATTAGTGCTATTAATAGAATTATGGCTCCGAAAGCTTCTGTAGGGCAAAAACAAATT